CTGATGCTAAAAAGCAACACAGCGTTCTAGAACACTGTAATCCTGACCTCTGACACACACACACACACACACACACACAGACACACACACACACACACACACACACACAGAACAGTGGGCATCATCAGTGTGTCCTGTTAATCTACATGTTGCACACAAGCCTCAAAAAACCCCAAAAGCCCGATTTTGCAGAGACGACTGTGAAGAACAAAGCAGGAGACGCTGGGAAGAGCCACACAAAGCTACAGCGAATCTGAAATAAACAAACAACTACACAGCGTGATTTTCGATTTGATTTAAAAAGATATTTCTCTGAGCAACAGGTATTTATTTGTTTAGAACAGCAAGAATATCAAAGAAAGTGGTGATTTTACACATCATTGTGTTCACTCAACCATTTCCACATCTCTCCTTATTAAAAAGCCCAGTATTCTTCGTAGGTATTATCCAACACCTGGTTTGGCTCAATTATGCTTCATTACGTTAAATCAAGTGTGCTGCTGATGGGATTTAACACTTCTATGGGACGGCTGGGGCATCAGGGAGAAGTCAGGAACCAAATTTTGTTCTTCAAACAAGCTCACAAGATACCATACGCTTTTAAAAGAACTTGGGATTCTTGCTACTTTTGACTGTATTTGTGTTTATTTGCAAGATTCTAACAATACAGGCAGTGTTTTACCAACCAAAGCACACTTACTGTCAAGATAAATGGTTTCCACTAATGTGCTTAGGTACAGTTCAGAAATATGACAATATTTGTCAATTTTTTGATTGATTACATCAAACAACACAGCCCAAAATGTTATAAAGATATCATTAGTACTTCTATAAGACTAAACAACCGTTTCGTTACAGTAAGAGTTTTAGTCAGTCACGTTTCATTGGATTTAGTGCAGTTCAGTAAATGAAAAGTTGGTGTCACTGGTTCTTTTTTTCGTCCGTTCCATCTTATCAGATACCAAAATTAATATGGTGACATACTGTGTATTGTGAAAACTTAAAGTATGGTGATTTGCTTAGGTGTTGTAAGACTTTTGCCCAGTACTCTATATATATATATATATATATTATATATATATATATATATATATATATATATATATATATATATATACACACACACAGATATGTATGTGTGTACATACACACACATACACATATATATATATATATATATATATATATATATATATATATATATATATATATATATGTGTGTGTATGTACACACATACATATCTGTGTGTGTATATATATATATATATATATATATATATATACATATATATATATATATATATATATATATATATATATATATATACAGACACACACACACACACAGACACACATTCTGTGTTAGTCCATTGCTGGGTTCAGTGGGAAAGTTGACCAGGGAGGGTTCCTTAAAACTTCCAGTTGCTCCAAACTCCACAGTAAACTAACACTGTAATCTACAACCAGCAATGGGTTCCGTACACACACACACACACACACACACACATACACATACACTTGCATTTAGTGTGCAGACATGAGGGGTTTACATTTGAGCCTTTTTCGCTATTCAAACATGAGCATTTTTAAAGAAACAGCACTTTAAAATTCTGAAAAGAAAAAAGAAGCATTATATGTTCTTATGAATAAACAATGAACACTAAGGCTTTAGCTTTGCAGCATAATAAGAGGTGATCAACAACATTTTTTTGACTGATTTAGTGATTCATCTTTGTTTTAGATGCAGGTGATTTAACACACAACCAGCTGACCTACAGAACAGTGACTCATCCAAGCTTTACTCTGTATACACTTACGGTTATGTCTGAAATATTTCCATATACAGCACTGATTAGATGTGGCCGTTTCGCTTCATGTTAAAAACACTTCTCAGAAACGAAAAGTATAGAATAATTCATTTCATCACTACACTATACTTAATACATGATTAAGTAAACGAATGCCAAGAGGAGTTTGGATATCTGTATTTTCACATAACCACACCCATCCCTACAAAACAAGGGTTCAGTGAGAGTGTACACACACACACACACACACACACACACACACACACACACACACACACACACACACAGCCAGACAGATATTTAAACTGTAGACTATAATCTGAATGGTAGGGTTCCATACATAATTGCAGACTACTGTACCATTTCAGAAAGCTGTAAACACTTAAAGAGGCCATCTGCAGTCAGACTCTATTTTCAGAATTATATAACACAAAACAGGGCTCTCTTAAACGTAACCTACAATACAAGTCTTCTAGTCCAGATATACAACCAGCTTCACAACTAAATCCTAGTCCCAGACTCTTAAAACATAAATCTGTAACTGCTAATCCGATTAACTGTGAAATTTAATCCAGTGAGGTTTAATGTGCGTCGGAGTAATTAACCCCAAACAAACTTTAAACGAACACACAGCTGCTCAGACGCTCACAGACTGACCCAGTGACTACATTTTACAGTTTAGTCTGAGCAGAAAACGCAGTTCAATGATCTCAAGTTAGTGAATCAATGGCAAGAATCGGGGGGGGGACGTAATCTTTTAAACACCCAGAACCCACCGGTGGCCCAAAGTGTTATTACACACTTCTATAACCTAAGAATAGCTCATTGAAGCCCCTGTATTTACTGAACAATAAGCCTTCATATGTAATAAGCTTAAGATTTTTTAATTATAAATAAAAATGACTGAATAAAAATTTATTGGTTGTACTGTTTATATTTTAATCAAATCAAAAATCACAGTGAGGTCAGAGATTTACGCCACTAATTCGTTTAAATTCATTCCTGCTCTTTTACCATAGCACTACAGATCACAGCAAAGGTAATCAAATCCGGATCCGGAATCCAGACCAGGATTTCATCATCACTAACAGATACTTAAAGGAGCTTATAGGTCACTCTCAGCACACCTGCTTTAAGTCAAGGGAGGGTGGAAAACCTGAACTGGAACATGAAAACCTGATCTTTTGATTTCAGTCTCTCTGCTAAAGAGCAAACCAGTTATACTCAGTGTACAGTGTGTCTATACACACACACACACACACACACACACAGACACACACACAGACACACACACAGACACACACACACATCCATTTTAGACATAATTTGTAAATGCCTGTTTCCCTTTATGTTAATTTCATGATGAATGGACCAAAAGAAACGGCCCAAAATGACTTAGGGAAAAATGTCTGGTTCAATTGACTTACATTAAAAGTAAAGTATGTTTTTTCTTTCTCCTGTAAAGTTATCGTTTTGGAGCTACGAGGTTTTGTTCCGACATCAGTGATGTATAAACTGAATGTTACAATCTTCTGTTTGTTACACTGATGCTGTGTCACACAATCAAATTAAATCAATTCATTATTAAATTTGCTTTGGCAAATTATGACCAATCAGATCTGCAAATCTGTAACTTAATTTCCACTGTGTGCAAAGTTTTAACAGTCTATATACACAACTTGGATTTTTTACGAGAACTTGCAGACCGAAACGCAGTTATGCTAACGCTGAACGAGATCGTTTACACCCTCAAAATGTGAACTGTTAAAACTGTTAAACCCCTGGATCTGTGACTGTCAGGGAATCGTAAAGGCAGCGTGAAAGATGTTAACACAGAAGTTGTAATTCGTAACCGCAACACAAACTCTGTAAATCCGGGTTTGTGGGTTTACTAGGATGAACAAACAAAGCCAGATCTGCTTGCATGAGAGCTGCGGATCAGCGGCGCTCATTAATTAAGAAATGCTGACCCAGTTTAACTGAGGTTACTGAACCACCGAACAGAGGAGACGACCGGGACCGTTTAGGACAATAAAACTGAACTGAAAACCGGAACAGAGAGACGAGATGAGAAGGAACAGGACGTGTAGAGAGCAGGTGCACCATCAGAAATCCTTCCATACAGACAGAGAGACAGAGAGACAGAGAGAGAGAGAGAGAGAGAGAGAGAGAGAGAGACAAAAATGGTACACTGTGACAAGAGCAGCATACAGTGAAAGAGAGGATGAGAGACATTTATAGACACAGAGCGAGAGCGAGAGAGAGAGAGGTGCTAATAAGAAAGGAAGACTGAAAAAGACAACAAAATAGAAAGACAGAGAGGAGAGAAATAAAGAATGAGATTGAGAGAGTGGGGTGGGGAAGAGACAGAACGAGGGAGGGGGGAAAGAGAGAGACGAAAATGGTACACAGTACACGGAGATGCACACACAGTGAAAGAGGATGAGAGACAGAGAGAGTCAGAGAGTGAAGTGCTAATAAAAAGGGAGAAAGATGAGAGAGGAGAGAAAGAGAAAGAATGAGATTTAGAGAGCGGTGTGGGGGAGAGACACAGAACGAGAAACGGAGAGAGAGAGAGAGAGAGAGAGAGAGAGAGAGAGAGAGAGAGAGAGAGAGATGCAGAAAAAAAGAGAGGGATAAAAAGGGAAGCAGGGAGAAGGAGGGAGGGAGGGAGGGAGGGAGGAGGAAGCTCGCAGCCAAAAATAAACATAAATAAGGCACCGGGCGACTGAAATCTGATGGAGATCCGCGGAATAACAGACAGCTGATAGATTCACCCTCAGCCTCGCACACACACATACAGAGAGAGAGAGAGAGAGAGAGAGAGAGAGAGAGAGAGAGAGAGAGAGAGAGAGAGAGAGAGAGAGAGAGAGAGACCCCCTAGCATTGTGGGGAGATGAATAGAGAAACAGGGAGGGGATAAAGGAAGAGAGAACCGATGATGAAGTTCGCTCCTTAACCGAATTTTCCGTTCCACCTTAAAAGGCGCAGTTGCATTCAGACGCCTTCACGGCTGCAGAACGTAACCGCTACCGATTTAAGGTGGACCGGAAAATTCCAATTGATGAGCCAACTTGAGCTTCGTGAGCGACAGACAAAAGCGCTAAAAAAGCAACCAAAGCACACAGAAAAAAAAATCAAACTTTCTCCACTTCATCGCTTCTGTTATGTGTCGTATTTCCCGCTACTTACATGTAGGCTGGAGACAGCGGGGAGGACCTGGAGGTCTTAAGCACAGGCACGGGGAATTTCCAGCTGACCGGAGAGCCGCTTTTCCATTTCAGAGGCATGATTAGCTACCGGCTCACGGAGCTCACACGGCGGAGGAAAACCACGGAGAACGGAGAGTCCATGAAAAAAAGGAGGCCGGAGAGGAGTCCCATCTCCAGCCGAGGGGTGGAGGAGGAGGAGGATGGACGGACGGACCGATGAAGGTGACGGTTGTGAGGTTAACGTTAGCAGCCCGAGCTAAAATAACGACGCTAGCGAAGCGAAGCCGAGGCTAAAAGATTAGCCGTCAGAGAGGCGAGGGAGAGAGCTTAAACATGATGGAGGAGGGAAAAAAAGAGATGATGTGAGGAGAAATGGAGAGGAGGATGGAAAAAAAAAGAAATCCACCTCAGGTGCCGAGAAGAGGCGCTGCAGCGAGATCGTAGTGGTGGATGTGGAGAGAGAGAGAGAGAGAGAGAGCGAGAGAGACGCAGAGAGCGAGAGAGAGTAAGTAAAGAAGAGCGGACTGCAGTGGAGAGAGGATAGAGAGAGAGGGAGAGAAAGATATAGGGAGGACAGGGAGGGAGGAGGGGTGGGGAGAGAGCAAAATAGAGGAGGGAGGGGGTTGGGGAGAGAGGGAGGGAAGGGGGTTGGGGAGAGAGGGAGCACAAAACAGAAGGATAGAGATTGAAGGGGGAGAGGGAGAATGAGGGAGCGAATAGCAAGAAAGAGTGATGGGGGAAACGGAGAGCCTGAGGAAGGGAGAGAGACATAGAATATGAGAAAGAGAGAGAGGAGAGGGAGGGAGCTGAGAGAGCTACACAGAGAACAAAACGGAGAGAAAGAGACGGAGGGAGAAAAGTGAAGAATATGAAGAGATAATGGAAAGAGAAAGAGAGAGAGAGAGAGATCAAAACAAAGGCACAGACAGAAAGACAGACAGACAGAGAGCTGATGAGTTTGAATGCAGCTTAATGCAGATAAAGTGTAAAGGTCTGGTTTAAGACTCCATCACACAGCACTGCACTGTTAAAGACGCTGAGATTAATATCCAGAATGAAGTTCTAATTAAATAAATGAATATTCAGAATGAATTTCTAATAATACATCCTCCGGAATTAAGTTATAATCAATTAATATTCAGAATGAAATTATAATATTTATATCCAGAATGATGTTATAATAAAATTGCTATGCAGAATGAAGTTATAATTAAATTAACTGTCAGAGAGAACCTGATATATATCCAGAATTAAGTCCTAATAGAATTAACACTCTCAATGCTTCATATTTAATCAAATCCCATGATGCCTAACTTTTGAACAGTGTTGTACATAAGAAAAGCTTTTCCACACAAATTCCGCCGCCGGCCTTTTCTCCGGCTGTCGGGTCAGCACTCTTCTAAAGCAACAGAACGATGAGGAGAAAAGAACATGGGAGAAAAAAGACGAAGAAGACTCGTTTCTGCGATTACATCGGCGTCTGTTAAAGGAGCTGACAGAACGTCTGAGGAGATGGTGTTTCTCGGCCGCAGACGCGGTTTGATGGCTGTTTTTCCTGCTCACTCAGATTCAGATTCAACCAGCGAACGTCACCTTACCTCGTTCTCTTACTTATTTCTCTATATGCACAAATCAACAAACCGGAGCTACGAGGCTAACGTAGCTAATAAGTAATGGAAGCCTTTGTAGACCGATTAGCTTCATGATCAAATCATCTTACGCTTGACTGAAACTGTGTTTTGTTAACAGGACAAGAAATCCCCTTCTGATGTATCTTGAAGGTGGAGGGAACTTCTGAAAAACTACAGCTACTCTGGAGCAGATTTTCGGGGGCCGTACAGGAGGCTCTGGAGTTGGGGTGGGCAATATGGGAAAAACAGGACATCACAATACCTGAAGACATTTTGTCGATGCACGATACACATCACAATATCATTTTTCTGAGATTTGGTAAGTTGGAACACACAAAAAGCACGAGTAGGGTCACATATAAAGAACATAACACAGTACAATACAATGACTTATTTACCATGTCATACACTGCACTACATCCAGTTAAACAGCCCAAATCATGCTCTCAGAAGGAATACAGAAAGATTAGATAACTAAACATGGAGCAACAAATCATAAATCATAAAAAAATTACAACAGAGCACAAGTCTTTGGCACCAAAGCACATTTTTTAAACACACATATCTGGGCAGTGAGTGTGTTTCTGCCTGAAAGGCCCTAAATGTCATCATAATAGACAAAAGCAAAACAAATAAGAATTTCTTACTTTGAAAAAAAGTTGCATATCTTGTTGAGCTGGTTACACATGGATTTCTTAAATTCCTTCACCAGCACACAGCATAACCGGCACTGATGAGCCAAACCAGGTGTGGGATGATAATTACAATTAACACTGGGCTTCCTCGAGGAGAGGTCTGGAAATGGTTGAATGAACACACTGACGTACACAAAATCACTACTTATTGTATTAATGCTATTTGTACTTATTCTAGTTTTTTCTAACCGCATAAATGCCAACCGCCCAGACGAAAAGCTTTTTAATTCTAATTTTCTCAGGTGCCTAAAACCTTTTGCACAGCACTGTTTGTGCTTTTAACACTGATGGTCACAAAAACTGCCAGTTTTATTCTAAATCATAAAGAATGAAGTTATACGGAAGACACCAACAACAAAGTTCAATGTAAAATAATATCCAGCATAAAATTTCATAAAACAAATTAATAACCAAAACGCACAGGGAGATTCACTTGAAAGAGGCCTTGAATATCTTGTTGTAACTCCCGTTAGGATGAAGCAATCTGAACCAAAAATATATGCTACATACCTTGACGTTTGCGTAATCAATTTTATTACATGCGATGCTGGAAGTGATCTCCGTTTTCTGCCAGACACACGAAGGGGGTATGCACCCGGAAGTTGCAAGCGGAGGTTAAATGTGGCGATGGCTGTCCGGCGTCTACCTTATCACTCTGACGCAGGGGCATCCCACCTCGTTCGAAGCTCCATATACTGAGGAGCGCATTGCACGTTGTTTTGTTCAGATTGCTTCATCCTAGAGAGAGTTTTTACAGAATATACGGGGCCTCTTTCGAGTGAATCTCCCTGTAGTACTCACAATATAAAATAATGAGGATAATATTATATAGTGTCCCACTGCACATCCCCACTCTAAGGGGCTATGAATGCTGAAAGAAGCCAGAAAGCCTGACCGGTAATGTTAATGCTAGGAAGCTCTAAACGGCCCCCAAAAATAATAAAAAGCATCTGCCGCTTTTCAGAAGTTCCTCCCACCTCAAAGAGACTTGTTTATGTGGTTTCCGACACTGTATTACACACAGTTCTCTATAAAAACAATACAAACAAGACGGCTGCTTCTGTTTTTAGCCATGCTAATGTACTTCTGTCCAAGATAACAGTGTCTCATACAGTGTGAGGAACCACATGCGTAAGTCTATTTGAGATTACTTAACAACTCTACACAGTTTGAGGCGAGTGTGTGATGATTTAGGAATGCAGTTTGAACAATGCTAATTGGTGGGGCTTAAACTTTCATTACCTGTAGCTACATTAGCCTCATAGCTCCAGTAGAAAACTAACTAGAAAACTTTGACTGAATACTTGTGGCATAAATAGAAACGCCACAAGTATTCAGTAATTTTTTTGGTCAAACTCTCTCTAATCTAGTAATGGAAGTGCTACATAAACAGTGATAAATGGTGAGAGATGGTTAAATTAGGTGGATTAATGTGGGATTAAACTTGGAGCTAGAATATTGGAGCCGATGCGATTCACCACTGCTACCGGACCTACTTACACACGCAACCTAAGAAGGTCAGTTAGAAAGGTCAGACGTCAAAAAGAAGAAAACAAAAACAGCTTGCTTCCCTGTGACGCTTCCATCCTTTCCTCCATGCTGGAGGAACAGGTGAACCACCCTAAAACCAATAAAGCCAATTAATTCATTAACACAGACTCACGCTATTGTGGCTATCTGGCATAGAGAGCTCAGTCCATCAGCACAGCAAATCCCACCTAATTCTATCAGCACAGCAAATAAAGTCATGTAACACCTTCACAGGCACACAATGAAGTGCTGTATGTGTTTACACCAGTGTATTCTCACATGTGAGTGAGTCAAGCAAGATACTGCAAGATATTTCATATTTCATGAAATTCGAAGTCATACACCTCTGAGGTGCTGGATGATATATTGTCTATACTGGTGTACCATGATACTGACATACCATGATGTCATTTTTCAGTTTTAAAAATACTGTTTTATATTGTACTGTACTCAAGTATAGTCAATATATATATTAAATGATGAGCACTATATCTGTTATATATCCATAAAATAGTGGTGTTTCGGTTGCCAAGCAATTCGTTTTCAGTATAATTCTATTTTGTATAATTTTAAGACGGGAAAAAAAAAGAGAATTAAACAGTCCAAACACAACAAAAAAACAATCAATTTCAGGTTTGTAAGACATTCTTTTAACCCCTTAAATGGCCAGGGCTGAACAGCAGGTCCCGAAGTTTTATTACACCCTTTTATAACCTAAGAATAGCTCCACCAGTTTGCACTGAAGTACATGTAGTTACTGAATAATAAGCCTTAGTGTGTAATAAGCCTGAGATTTTAAGGTGTTAACATAGTGTAGCAGCACCCAGTAATTACAGGTTTATTAAATTTATTAATGCTAACTGCAATATCCATAATGTGGTCAATGCTGGCACGATAAGCAAGTTTGAAAAAAAATGATAAATATCTATTTATCTTTATTTAAAAGCAAAGGCAGCCTGTTTTGCAGTTACATTCTCTATATCTGGGACAGTTTCCACTTTTCAGACTGAGTCCCAGTTTTGTTTCAATTTAAATATTTCCATATAAATAAATAGTTAAGATGTAAACAGTGTCAGAGTAGTTTGGTGTGAAATGCTGTGGTCTGGAGAAACTTTAGATTCGTCCACAATGGTGGTGATGGGAACCAAACGTCTGAAAAAGTTAACAGCTCTAAAAGCTCCCTTACAGAAAGTTATTACATGAAATGGTTATGAACACACTG